TGATTAGGGGGTGGGTATTTATAGAAAAAAAAATTCAGTGACCGTTCATTCTAGTCCATGAATTTTTGGCTTTTGCCAAATTTTATTTTATTTTTTTAACGAGCCCACGAACCACTCGGCGAGCTACTCGTCTAGCGAGCTGGCCAGCTCATCTCATGGGCTGCTACAGTACGAGCCAACGAGCCGCTCGTTGCCACCACTATTTTTTGCAGAATGATACTTTCTGTAAACACACTTTTCAAATAATAAATAAAGATTAACCAAACTAAATTTCTGGCTTTAATATATTTTCTTTTTCTAAGCATACAGTTTGTTATTAACAAGACTACTAATTAATTTCTAATAACATTGTATTAAAATGATTCTAAAGGAATTAACGAAAGAAAAGGAAATGTTGAACAACCATACATGGGGTCCTATTCACGTGAACCCATGCAGGAACGTTTAAGCAGAAAAAATATACAAACCATTTTCTTTGTTCATTTGTTTTTGCGTGGCAAGAGTCAAAATTAAATTCTTTTGCATAGTTATCAACTTCGAAACTTCACGAAATTTTAAAGAAAAGTGGGAGACTTCCTATAATATGACATATCCAAATATTGGCTTCCATTTGGGAGAAAAAAAAAAAACCAACGCATTTTACTTAAAGTGAAATATAAAATTCTACTGACATGAGATTGACATGATTTCAAGTTTATGTAGTAGCTAACCCGTGATGATATGAAAACCCATCGTCCAAAAAATTATAAGTAACAAATGAGTTGCGAATTTTTAAAGTCAAGGGCAGAAGATGGAATTTCAAAGAAAACAACAACACTAAATTTTATCGCTAACATTTTTGTGTTCCACAGACGACGTTCATAGAAATCCATTTATTGAAAAATACGTAAACATTTTTTTCATACTCAAATAAAAACATTAAGTCACCAACTTCTCAATAGCGTGCTGCACCTTCATCTACCATCATCCACTCCCAATCATATAAAATCAACCTGTAGAAAGGGAATTAACCTATGAATTTGAAATTCAATAGATATCATCGGTACATTTCATTATCAAATTAAAATTTTCGAATTATAGATTCATACCACAGTACGTAGATGGATTTCAGGCAAAATCCATTTTCTATAGAATTATCATAACACGAAGAGCTCGAGAATGGTCGTTCCAACTATAGTAGTGCCGAAATATTGTACCCAAAGACACCAATTCATTCTTATTTTAACGAAAATTTGTACTTTAAAAACGAAATAACAATTTATACATCTACCTACCTTTGTTTGATGCTTTTGAATGTATGAAGTTGGATAGTGAATATTGTTTCCGGACGGCACCGATGCTAAGAAATCTGCCTCTTTTTTTTTTCACATATACTTTTGAAAACTTTTCTCGATCAAAGTGTGCACTTCCATGTGAAACTTGTATACACTACACCAAAAATGATCTTTTACAACACGCAAAAGGCAACATTCGTTAATTAAATATTACTAAAGTGGTCTATTGCAACATTTCAGCAAGTGAATGTTGCTATTGGCTAATGTCGCATTTTGCAACATTTTATAAATATTGCGAAAAGTTTAAGTTTTTACAACGTTTTTTGACCGTTGTTGAAATTTGGTTCTATAGCAACGTTCATTGCCTGTTATTGAAACTCTTAATATAAAGCATTTTGCAACGTTTATTGACTATTACGAGAAGATTACTTTTTGTAACGTTTTTTAATTGTTGCTAAAAATTTAACTTTTTGCAATGTTTTTGGAACGTTGCCAAGAGTTCACTTTTTGCGGAAAGTTGCGAACAATTTTACGTTTTGCTAAAATTGATCTAACCCAAACCGAAGGAAACACTCATCAGAATCAAATTAGTTTAGGCATTAGCCTTAATTTTTGCTTCCTCTATCATCTCCACCTCTCACTCCTCTCATCACTTCCTCTCTTACAATACTTCTTCTTGTTTCCCACAATAAAGCCACCACCTCAACATTTGGGGATGGGTTTATTATACAAATCACCACCACAAAATATTATAAGCATCACAAGAAGAGGTTTATGAGTGAAAATAAGAACAGCAGCCGAAAGCGAGAGCATAATAATGGAGAAATTGAGTATCAAAGCCGTCAATAACCATAAACCAGTGAATGGNTATAAGCATCACAAGAAGAGGTTTATGTGTGAAAATAAGAACAGGAGCCGAAAGCGAGAGCATAATAATGGAGAAATTGAGTATCAAAGCCGTCAATAACCCTAAACCAGTGAATGGTGAAATGGAGAACTTCTCTCCTCTTTTACCTTGTTATGGCTGCCTCTAAATCGATGAAGCCAAATTTTTGCCCAAACCCGCCTATGAGATCTTCGAATTTTCCACTCTCCCCAGAAATCAATTCTCGAATTCCAGGGCATTTTCTGCGCTCCCATCTCCATCACCGTCTTATGCGGAAGATTTCGATTATAAGGCCCCAAATTTCGATCTGAACCCCATTTTGGAGGAGTTAAAGGAAAATGAGGACATTGTAAAAATCTTAGTGAAAGCTTTTTTCCTTTGCACCAGCCACCAGGTTCATTTCTCTTCCATTGTGTATATGTATAAATTGGATATAAATTCCTTCTATTTTCAGTTATGGGTGTATGCTTGTATAAAATATTGAATTTTTACGTTGCTATAGTTTTATGTTTAATTTTCTTTTCTTTATTTTTCTTGTATATTGAATAAGTGATGAGTAATTATGCAGAAAGTTTACCCCTATAGAGTATCTTGTTGTGTCTTGTTTGCATGCAAGGGTATGAGGTTTATCCTTTTGCTCCAGTTCTGATTTAACTAACTATTATTCATTTGGATATGATCCTGTTGATTTGAGCCTGATGCCTGAACGTAGGACAAAAAAGAGCAAAAATTGGATATGAGCCTGCTCTTGATTATGAAATGTAGGTTTATGGTGAAGGTGAAGAATCTAGCTCAAAGGAGAAAAGGGAAAAAGAAGTAATAGAGGATGCACGTGCACGTGCGGAGAGGTTAAGATCCTACAAAGCTGATCTCCAGAAAATTAAGAAAGAGAAGGTACATCTAGCCTCTTGTTTGTTTGATACTCTTAAGCACGCATGACTAAGTAGATGTAGTAGAGATGCTTTGCAGTAACAAACATGACTAATTAGACTGGACCCTCATCAAAGATATTACTTTCCTTATCTGTGCTTCTTTCAGGATTACCAGACATGTCATGTTTAAGTATTTGTGGTGCGGATTCCTTTTTACTCCTATAAACTTTTATATTCTAAAGCTCATTTCTTCACAGGAAGAGGCAGAACAAAAGCGCCTTGAAGCATTAAAGCTTAAGAGGCAAAAGAGAATTGTGAGAGGCAGCTCCACATCTGTGATATTATCAGTACTCTCACCGCAGATAGCACAAGTTTTGAACAGGATGATATTGGAGGGTGTACTGCTTCTTCGAGTGAATGTGATGCCCATTTATCATACCTTCTAAATTTCATTGCAATAAAATTTACGATGCATGGTTCTGCTTAATCTCAAACAGTTACCTCATTTAATTAGCATAAGCAAGGTTTTTTAGTGTTGTAAAGATGGTATGCATTTAATCTTAAGCATTAGTTGCACCAAATTGCTTTTTTCCAAATGCCTCAGTCCAATATAGTATGTCTCAATAATCTGACGATAAATTATTATTTCAACAATTAGTTCTTCATGATAAAACCATCAAAATACCACCTTAGTTTCAGTTCTCTGGTATGACCTTCTAAATGTTTGTCTTTTGTGCTCATCAGGCATTCTATTGAAATTGACTATCCCCAAGTTCATAGATTATAGTGCTGAAAGTCTTATATAATATTTCATCTTTTACTAGATAATTTGATAGCTGCAAAATTTTGGTCTTTTTTCAAAATAATTAGAATCTGATTTTCAATTGAGTTATCTGGGGAAATAATTTTATGGGTTATCAATTTGTTTCTTTTGAGTATGGAAGAAATCCAGGTCATAAGAATTCATGCCAAATTTGAAGCCTTCCTTCTTGTTCTATCGAACTTATCTATAGCAAAAGTAATATTATATATTCCCTGAATGAAATTTATTCCTTTTTGGATCCGTGATGATGGTTGGGGAATATGTTTTCAGCCAACAAGGGCCTCATAGTCTAGAAAATTTCCTGGCTCCAATAATTGATTGTTACACCCGATAACCCTGTTTATGCCTTAGTTTTTTAGTACCTTGTTGCCTCTAAATTACTAATTGGATTAAGTTAGATGTAGGAATTGAAGTCCTCAAGAATAAAGCATTTTGTTCCTCTTTATTGTTTGTGGATAAGAATTAGTGGCTTCTTGTTGTACAATGCTTGGCTATTCCTAGCAAGCTTCCTCCAAGGCTGGCCAGACTAGTTGTCTACAAGAAAAAACCAAGTATGGATTGTTGAACTAACTGAAGTACATGCAACAACTCGAGGTGGACATCATAGGAGAAAAGTTATCTCAACTATAGTTGTTCTGGATGTTCAGCCGCCTATGGTATATACCATTATTTTACTTGGTTTTTTTCTGTTCCTGGAGCACATCTTTTCTTAGGAATTCATACTCTTTTAACTTTTACTAAATGTTATTAATTTGTCAGAATTGACGTTGTTCTTATGGAAGCATTGAAAATACCTGAGAACAAGAGCTTTTACATTGGGAATATAAATTACTACTATAAGCCCATGCGAAGTGGTAAATGGTCAGTGGCATATAAGGTACCATTACAACCATTTTACTTTTCATGGATTAAAATTTAAATACATGTGGTAAGGTGTGTTTTGCAGATATAAATGGATGAATCCATTAGAGAAATATGAAAATATCACTGAGGATATAATTTGGTGATTAGCTAATGCTTAACTAGAATTGTATAAAAAAAGTTGTACTTTTAAAGCATAAATACTTTTGATTTGCATGCTAATTATACCTTAATTATTTATGTGATATGCAGGGAGTTAGATTAGTTTTGGGATAGCTAAATTGTTGGTCACAAAAGCAAACTTCAATATGGATCGAATATTTTGTAATATAGTCTATATTTTTCACATATTGCTATATATATTTTTGAGTAGGTTAATGATGTTAGAGATTAACTCTACATTTCAACATATTGTATTGAATCATATTCACTATTTTTGTTTATCAAAACTATGTAAAATATGATTACATATGATTAATGTGTACAATTTTGTTTTGTAATTTTTATAAGTTTGTTGGTAATCAAATAAATAAATATTTTTTAAAAAACCAAATTAATTATACAAATTTTTTTTAAAAAAAAAGTAAAATGATCTAAGACAACGATCAAAAAATGTTGCAAAAAAGAAGGATATAAGCATAAACACTAAAAAACGTTACAAAAAGGTTATAGCAACACTAAAAAAATGTTATTCGTAAAATTTAAAAAATGTTACAAAAATGTTATTGACAACACTTCAAAAAGGTTACAAAAAGGTTATTCACAACATTTGAAAAACGTTGCAAAAAGGTTATTGGCAACACTCAAAAAACGTTGCAAAAAGGTTTGCAAAAGGTCTTCGACAATATTTTTTGAACATTGCAAAAGACTGTTTTTGTGGTAGTAATGTTAATGTATATTAGAAATGGAAAAGGAATGATTTGGAGAAAGTGAAAAGAACAAATTATATTTTGTCCTTGTAAAAACGTTGGCAGCCCTTCATACCAATTAAAGGAATTTAAAAGCAAGGTTTAGGTTACACTTATTACATTTAAGTGCTATTTAATTCAATAATATTGGCAACCATTCATTCACCCATTCCAAGAGATTAAAGAAGTGCTTATGTTCCATTTTATGCCTTTAACTTGTGAGCAAATTTTGTCTTATAAATATTTATTTTAAGCATATCGGACTAGTACTGGGGCTTTCTTTTCTTATGTAGGCTGAGCATAAAGCTCGTCTATAGGTTAGGCTTGCGATGCTAGATCATCACATTAAAATATGAGCCCAATTCATTTTATTTTTTGGATTTCTACAATCGATAATCGGATAATATTCATTATTCTTTTCCAATATATATTAAACTTATGTTTAAAACGATCGGGTCATATTCTTAATCTGAATTCATGTGAAAAATATGCATTTGATCATAGAATTATTACATGCGATCGCACGCGCCATAAATATTATTCATAATATCTATTGCCTGTGTTAAATATGCAGTACCTATTGTGAATTTTCTAACATTATAAATAAGCAACTTATATGCCCCAATTATGCGCAAACATTAAAACAAACATAATTAATGCATATGAAATCATAAACATGAGAATTAACTAAAATGATAAGTCTTGAATTAAAAACTAAAAATCTATAGATTTTATCATCCATCCAATACATAAAAATATTGAGCCTACCATTGTCATATGAAAATTACACAAAAGAATAAGAAAAGATATCACCTCGAGACTAAGAAACTTGAGAAGAACGTGAAAACTTCAATTATTCGCTTGAATCTCGACCCCAAACAATGCAATTCCTCCCCTTGAATGTAAAAATCTCTCTTTTCTTGCTCTACTACGATAAAAATCAGCTCCCATTTGTTTTGGACGTGTTCTTCAATTTATAAGATGCTAAAAAGATTGCATTGAATTTTACCAAAATGAAATAAGAGAAATCAGATTTTTATAGCCTAGGTGCATGCCTAGCTTGTTTAGGGCGCTTAGGCACCTCCAGAAGTGGTTGACGTGAGCACCTCACCTGCAGTCACGGGAACGTACCTTGCATGGTTTTGACAACCGAACAGTCTTTAATATTTTTTTCATAATTTTCTCTCCCTATATCCAATTGGGGTGATTCAAGTGCATTGGAAAGATAATTTAAAGGGCTATAATTCTTCTAGAAATATTATTTTTTCAATTCGAATGTTTGCTACGCCAAAAATTGGTGACAATCTGATACTAAAAATTCGGAGCATAACTTTTTCAGTTGGAAATTCATGTGTAACAATACTTTGACTATATTGCACACGTTTGACTTCATTTCTCATCCAATTCACTCCTAGCACACCTTGAATCTTAATCATGAGGTCCGATATAACTTTTGAGTATTTGCATAATTTAGCCAATTTTCACCCGTTTTCTCCAATTCCGTCATTTATGTCTATTCATACCTTACAAACACAAGACGCAAAGAATTAAGCCATAATTTATCAAAATAACCAATATATACTCTTAACTTAAATACTCAAATAAGTGTATTGAATACACTTATCAAACACCCTCAAATTTGAATATTTGTTTGTCCTCAAACAAATTATATTCTAACTTTACAACAAATACACAAACATGCAAAAGTTTTATTTTTTATTTTATTTTTTTTACTAGATAACCTGGCTTTTTTATTATTATTATTTACCTCGGGATTGAAATTATGATATTAAATCTATAAATAAGTTCAAGGTTACATTATCAACATCAATATCCACCTTTGTAATGCAAAATTGCTGTGTGTGTGTGAAGAATTAAGTAGAATATCATGAATTCATAAGTAGTTTCATTTTACCCCCATATTTCTCAAATATGTCATATCATTACTCGTGAGATTCATATACACCAAACTTATTATTTTCGATCTTCTCAGTGTGTGATTTAATGATGAGTCATTCTAATCATCATCACATCTCTAGTTTAGATGGATTTCATGAATTGCTGGTCAATACCTCAATAAGCAAGAATTCTCAAGTTAAATTGATTGCTTCAATCTCCATAACTCAATTAGCCTAATAATATCTTATCAAAAATCAAATTTTCTTAAACAAGTGTTTGAAGCATAATCAAGGTAATTGGTGCGTCTTTTATTGCATGCACATGCTTTTTCCGAATTTCTTTTTTCCTTCTCAATTCTTATTTATTTGCAGTATTCTCTTATTTAAGCTTTCTAAATGATCCATGTAGCGAGCTTTTAGCCGATGACTTCTAAGTCAGTTGTCTTTAGGACAATAGGTTTTAAACTTAATAACTTGAGTCATAAATGCGACTAAGAGAAATTTTCAAATAATTTTTTTTGTTTCAATTTTTTTTGTCTTGATTGGTGCAATATCTCTCATTAAACACCCATTTAAAATAAACCAACTTCTAACTTAAGACTTACCCCTAATTTTATCCTATTGATTTCAGATAATCCATACAAGATTTTTCACACATGGAATTTCCATTCATCTCAATATTTTTCGACAACAATAAAATCATCCCCAAACTATTCTAAATTTGGTCTAATGATGTATGATTTAGTGGTTTGGATTTAGCATCTAAAGTCCACTATTTCAACCTTTCAAATTATGAATCAAACTTATTCTATCACAATGCCTAAGTCAATTCACATGCACAATAAATATCAAATTTCACATGGAAAAACATCAATTAATCTATACATACAACATATTCACCATTCATAAATCAATACACATTTTAAATATATTCAACGTTGCCATTCAGACTAACTAATCAGTACAAGCATACAAACCAAAAAGATTTTTAATTTTTTAATTTTTCAATTTTTTCGTATTTTTTCATAAATAAAGCAAACACACAAAAAAACACAAAAATGAAAACTCAATGCCCCCCCCGCCCCCCCAACACTTAAAAGTAAACATTGTCGTCAATATCTTAGAGCCTAAGTAAACATATAAAGGGGCAGTGAAGAAAATGAAGAAAATACTCCCCGAATTTATTAGGAGGTGGTGGTTGCAATGACATGAGTGCAAGAGCTACAAGGTCCTCTTAATCATGTTGTCCTCTTGGTTAATGTTGATTTGAGTATTCCATGATATCATGTTCCTATAAAATGAGGAATAATAACATATTAAGGATCAAATAACCTAGAACAAGTAGTACTTAGCCCAAACATCTAATAAACCAACTAATAACTCAGAACCAAAGGGAAAACGGGATATGGATGGTGATATCCTAATTAAAACTATAAATTAAGTTAAATTATCCTATATCTAGAAAGCATAATAAGTAAAAGGGATGAAATTTGGTTGCAAAGAAAATTCTCAGCCTTGCATCGAATGCCCTGCGTGTTCTTTTATTGTTCATCTTTGAGCCTCCAAACTACCAGGTTTCCATTGTTCTCATGTCCAACAATTTCACCTTCATAAAATAACAAAATGAATATATTTGATTTCCGACTCCACCTTACTTGGTTTTTATCAAATAAAAAAATGAATATATTGAATTTCCGACTCCACCTATTGATGTCTAGTTCTAATTATTGACTTATATTAATTAATGTGATTAATGTGTACGTGACGATCGATAATCCAACAGTAATCAATATTCTTTTCCAAGATATATCAAACCTATATTGAACATGACTCGATCCTATTCCTAGTCTAAATTTATATGAAAAATATGCATTTGATCATAAGATTATTACACGCGATTGCACACGCCATAAATATTATTCCTAATAACTATTGCTCGTGTGTTAAATATGCAATGTTCTACTTATTGTGAGTTTTTCAACACTACAAATAAGCAACTTATATGTCTCAAGGGTTTGCAATAATAATTTGGGGTAGTTTTAGGTTAGGCAATGGGCCAAGCCCAATAAGGTCAATTTGGTGGTTAATAAGTTGGCTAAGTACAAAAGCTGTCCAAAAAGT